GTTAGAAGAAAAATACTGGCCAGCAGGTACTGCTGGGAGCGAAGAAAGAACATGAGCTGCATCGCTTTTGCCTTAGCTCCTGTTCACTACTTGCTTATAACACTAAACCTGGTTAAACTGGAATGTTCCCAGTTTCAATCTGAGCCTCAGAGGCCAGATATTTTACAGCCCCATTTGCCCGTACCATCCCCAGGCTCAATATTCACTTTTTAAAGGGATGGTGATGAGCTGGTGGCTTTGCGTTCCACATCCCCAATAGCTTCCCCCACCATACAGAGAAGAAAGGAAAGATCCTCCTGGCATTTAGGAAAAAATCACAGCCCCTTTATAGACACGGGAAGGAAAGACTGGCTTCTCCGCAACGGGTAGCTGAGAAAAATAAGCGAGGCACTTCATTTCCTCCCTCTTCCCCACCTATTTAGCAGGGTTGAAAACTTCCTCAGCTCGGGGTGCTGCTATTGTCATAGCTATAAAGTCAATTTATGTTTACGAAGCATTCAGTCACCACAGCCATGATGGCCATATGTTAGATAAGTGCTTTCTGTGAGAAAGTATTTTGTAAATTGTGGAGCCCAAACAACCATTGAGGTAGGGAATAAAGAAACGGGATAATTTCTCTGCTATCACATTTTTGAGTTTTAGAGGAAGGAGAAAAATAAGTCACTCAACTCTAACATATCTGACAAATATGTATTACCCAATTATCTGAATAAACATTTTCCATTCCCCTGTTTGCTTTCCCTTTCAAAGTCCAAACTTGCAGACTTCTCTCGAGCACAGCTTGCTCTACAGGATAACTGTGTTTTCTTGGGGAAAAGATTTCAGGTCCTGGGCACTATGGTCATGTGTATGAGGAATAAAGTGCAGTATATGAATGAGTTCAAGATAAGAAATAGAGCAAGTCTATATTCCATTTCATCTTATGAATTGCTATTGACTTAAGTGGGACCAGATCAAGACAGGTATTTAAAGATTATATTAATTTCTAATGCAGAAAGATGATCCTAAGGTGGAAATGAAGAAAATAAATTACAAAAGTTGTTTTTTTCCTCCTGTTTCTGTATTATTGTCTTATTTTGCTTGATTAGTGAGAAGTAACATCAATTTCATTAATGTATCCAAAGATGTCCAGAATTATCATGAGTTTACCTGATGTCTATGTCCCTGAGTGACTTTTATTTCTGATGACATTGAAGATGCAGCCAGGAAAGTTCTATTGGCCAAACATCCAAGGAGAGTCAGAGGAGTAAGTTATGACAGCTAAGTGCAGAAACAATTTATGAAGTCTAGTTTTTTTAGTTGTGTTTTGTTCTTGTTGGAGTGTGGCAAATGAGCTGGTTGCTGAAAATTACCTAAAGACAAGAAGAAATCTCAGTGCTGGGGCAATCCATGCTAGAAGTGTGGGGCACAGAACTTGACCAAGGCAACATCAGTGCCACCAGGGTAGTAAATCTCTGTGAGAAGGCCAACTTGCAGCATGGCACAAGGGGCCAAAATACTGTTTGTGCTCATCCCCCAGAGCAGAGCTCCCTTCCCAGCCTGCCCTCCTGAAGCTGGTGCCTGGAATACAGCACCAGGATCCAGGGTGAGTCTCCACTGCTAAAAACCAAGGAGAGGAGTGAGCTCTTGCTCCTTGCTCAGCAAGAACGCTCTTGCTTCCCCTACTTTTCCCCCCAAAAAATACTGCAGCAAGTAAGCCTGCAAGCAGAAAGGGCATCTCAAAGGGCTTTTGCCTTCTCCATCCTATCCAGAAGCACAAGTGTAAGGCAAGGGAACAGGGATTCAGGGATACAGCTTTTTAAGATGAAAACCTTTGGAGACTGCTGCTATACTTTTCTCTGGAGCTCTATTCCTCTTGCTATAGAGAGAAGATAAATATGAGCTCATTTCCTTTTGAAGCACACAAAATGTAAAATAAATACTGCCATATATGCAGAGGATTTCATTTCCTGTAACAGCATCCAAACACCCTTACCAATGTTTACCTCGCTACACCAACTCAATTTTATTCTTGAGTAATGGAGTCAGGTCATCAGTTTTACAGGATATTCTCTCAATGAGCTGTCAGATATATGCCAGGATATTTCAGGTGGTGTTGCTGAGCTATTTGCCAGCCTGCCTAAGCTGCAGGGTGTGAAACACAAACTTAGGGTAACTAGTTCAGCATGGCGTTCCCCACCCAAATACAGACTGCACTGAACCAAAAGTATTGGGGTATTTGATTAAATATCACATTACCATGAGCTGTTCTGTCTGCTGCTGATGATCTCGAGAAAGATCGTTATGGTAACTTTAGCCTACATCCTCATCTTGCACACACACAGCCCATTTTACTCCACACATCTGGCAGGACTTGGTATCTCTCCATTTCACTGCCCAGAGGGCTCTGCCTGGCCTCCCGCAGCAGCCCCCATCCCTCCTCATCTCCCTTCCAAAGGCACAGGACTGAAACAGCCCGGCAGAGTTTGGAGGGAAGAGGATCTGCTGCTTGTGCAATTAAAGGCTGCAAGAGAAATGGGCTGCTTGGCATCCTTACCCTAGTCCTGCTCCCTAGTTCCTGTTAAAAGATCAAAGGTGAGGGAGCGAGAAGAGGCTTTTGCTGGATCTTGAGATGAAACGCCGGGCCACGGACCTGAACCACTGCTGCTCTTATCTTCTGTAATCATTCAGCTGCTTTGCACCTGCCCTGCCTCTCTGTAAAATCAAGGAATGTAAAGGAGTGCATTTGGCCCTAAGCTATTACTTTGCTTTAATTCCTTTCCCAAAGAAAATTCACTTCAACAGTTTGATATGAATATTTTTTTTAAAGAATTGATGATATTAGCTGCCTCCTGCAGATAAGACTTCTGGGGTTTAAAGCTCCCTGTTTTCATCCCAATACTTTGATTAAAGGTTTCAAGAGATTCATTTTGGTCCTTTTAACTTCTTTTCACTGGAAAGTGGTAAAGGCTACAGTGAGAAAAAAAGAAGCAAAGAAGTCCTGAAAGAGGACTTCCATCCCACCTTTCTGTTATATATAGTAAAATTTCTGTCTCCAGAAAAAGTTGGGATGGTAGCACACTAAGGCAACCCACATTCATCCTGTTTGAGTCTTGAGACACAGACTGGGCATGGGAAGGTACAGGTTGGTGGAAATCTCTGGAACAGCACTGGTTCAAGTCAGGAATGGCCAAGAAGTGGTGGACCTATATGGAAGTTTTTGTCAGTCTTGAACTGTTGGTAGTGCAACAACAACAATAAAAAATCCAAAACAGAAACCAGAAAACGGAGCTATCACTTTGTGGGGGGATAAATCCAGCACCTTGTCAGGGTAGGGAGAGGAAATACCAGGTTCAGGTTCTGAGATGTGCAAAGACATCACAGTGTGTCCAGCCCCACGTTACCTGCACAGGAACAAAAGATATCTCAAAACATGCAAAAACCTGGCCTTCCTTGCCATAAACCTACACAGAGTCTGACCGGCAGCATTTCACACACATGTTACTTTTTTTGATTCTGTTCACAGGCTTAAGGGCTGGGTGGCACCTCCCAGTTTCATCTTACGCAGCTGATGCGATTTCTGTGATATCAGACTTATTTCTGATAATAATCAATTATATCCTGCATGTATGTGAGTACCTGCCTGAAAGCTTGTCCTTAGCAATGCTGGTTTTAGCAAAGTCTGCTTTCCCACAGCAACATAAAAACATAGCAAAAATTGCTATAGAGGAAAAAGAAACACATTGGAATGACATTATTTTTAAGACGTTTCTCTTGGAAATATTTTGCTTAAAGTAGTGTAATATGATCTATAAGTGTTATTTCACAGCTTGCCAATAATAGCAAATATAACATGCTTCCCTACTAGTGTTGCATTAAGATATAATAGTTGAAATATTTTATTTTGTTTGCATGGGATTTAAAGAGTTAATAACAGCAGCTACTGCTTAGTTCTAATGCAAATGTGGTTTTCCTTTCCTTCATCACAATGTTTGCTCCTTGCAATGAAAAAACAGCTCATCACTTAGTTTCACATCAATACATAAATAACCCATCCCCCAAAAGAAAATCCACTGTGAAACTTCAAAATTTTGACGCATCTTTAAAATTCATACCAGAAGTTTTTAAGACCTGATATTTTAAAGAAATTGCTTTTTAAGAAATTCAAATGCCACTGCTATACAAAACAAAAACATCTTTTGAGATGCCTATTGTAGATAGTTTCTTCTATAACCTCTATCAGTACTTTTTTCTTCAACTTTTATTTACCTTGTAACACGTATTTGACAACATTAAAAGGTTCAAAAGATGCTGTTTCCTTCCACAGCAAACAAATTTGCTATCTAATGGATGCAAAGACGCTCACTACAAATTCATATCCACCATTGTATAGAGGAAACTGGAGTACTTGCATTTAGCCTGATGTATTGGGTCAAGCTGCCTTGGGCTGCGCTTTCTGTTGGTACGTAGAAAGGTATTGGTAACACCAATGTTTTGGCTGCTGCTGAGCAGTGCTCGAACAGCATCAGGGCTGTGTCTCCAATATTTTCCCCCACCAGTGGGCTGGAAGGAGGGAAGATCTTGGGAGGTGACATTGCCAAGACACCTGACCCAAACAGAGCAAAGGGATATTCCATACCATACAATGTCAGCTCAGATATAAAAGCTAAGGGAAAAGGAAGAGGAGGGGGGCATTTGTCTTTTATGATGTTTTTTGTCTTCCGGAGCATCAGCTATGCATACTGACGCCCTGCTTCCTGGAAAGTGGCTGGACATTGCCTACTAATGGGAAGTAGAGAATAAAATCTTGTTTTCTTTTGCTACTGCATGTGGCCTTTGCTTTATTTATTAAACTGCCTTTATCTTGACCCATGAGTTTTCTTTCTTTTCCATCTCATTGTCTCCCTGCCAGTCCCGCTGAAGAGGGGAGCAATAGAGCAGCTGGGTGGCACCCGGCATCCGGCCAGGGTCAAACCACCACACCTGAAAATGCTCTCTAATCACTGCCATTCAAATAGTACCTCAAAAGGCATCCCTTCATCTGGGAAACAAGAAACACATGTATGTTAGTTTTCAGGCTCAGCTGCTGTGATTCACTGTTCCCACACACAACCACCAGGGTTCCTTTGGCCCAGAGCATCTCCTGCATTAAGGCTGCTTTTCTCTGTCAAGAAAGCAATCACAGTACTACAGGAATAACTGCAGTCCATGTGGCTGCTGAGGGCTACCGTGCCTTTCCAAACATAAAGTTAAGGCAGAAAATAAGGATGAGGGCAAAAGGAAAAATAAAAACAAACAAACAAATGAACAAGCCAAACAAGGGAAATAGAATTAATTTGGGGAACGTTTCCATTTAAGCTAGCATGGTACATATCAGACACCTGCCCTCTCTCTCCACCCCTGCCTCCCTCCCTTTCAAGGTGCTTTTGTTTCAGGTCCTGCTGTTTATGTGTTTTATATCATTTGCATGATATTGAAACTAAGCCTTTCATTATATTCTGACTTTGCTACTGTCACCAGCAGCTACATTACTCACTGTTTGTTTCGTACGTGTAATCAATTTTTTTACCTCTCTGGTTGCTTTTTTTTCCCCCTCCTGATTCCCAATAAGAGACATGAGATTTCTTAGGCCAGCAGGGAACACAGAATCCATCAGAGCAGAAGGAAGAGGTTACAGGTATTAGGCAAAGCTGCCACCTTAAGCTTGAAGAATTATAGTTGTTCTCCATTGGTGACATGGCTAACTTCCTTTTGTTAGTGTATGTGTACTTAAGCTTCAGCTGAGTCTTTAAATTGGCTTAGCAATAAATACTCCTCATTTGCATTTTTATGATGCAAAAAGCTTATGATCATCGGAAGGTTTTGATTTTTATCCTGGTAACTTCATAAGGGATTTTTTTTTCTCCTTTAAATGCTCTCTCTTCACTTTTACTTAACACTTTCATTGCTAAAAATTTCCTGGATGTTTTGGTTTAAATAAGCATCTTATATATTAAGCCTCAATATCTATTTATTTGATTGTTTCCTCTTATGTTGAGCAGTGTTTCCAAACTATATTCAGATGTTCCAAGGCCTGCATATTTCAGTTTTAGGGCACAGATATGAACCCCTTTTCATTTTGTTTGTTTGTTTGGTTTTTTAACTATGTTAAGACTTAGTTTTTTCCTGGTGGTTTTGTGATTTTGGGTTGGGTTTTTTTTTTGAATCACAAAACTCCATAAAACTATACCCTAGATACACAGCACTGAGCTTTGAGAAACAGTTTATTCTCTTTTGTACCCTATATCACAACAAATAAAAAGCTCACAATCCCCAAACTTACTCACATACCTCAAATTTTCCTTGTGGGCAAGGGACTGCCGAGACCTTAGTTATCTTCCTTGCCCTTACCTTCAAACAAGTCCGTCTCATATTTTTCCTTGGTTATTTTCCCCAGCTGCCTCTGGAAGTGGCTGACTGTCTGCAGCACGGCTGGGCTGGCCGTCACGACCAGGGGCAGCCAGGGGCTGGCAAGGGAAGCAGCCAGGTACCACCAACCTGCTCCCAGGACGCCTGCCTCACACAGCAGCCCAACACCCAGGCAGGCAATGGGGGCCTGGAGCTCAGGAGCCACCTGGATGAATGCAGCAGAGCACAGCTAGAGGGTGAAAGCAGCAGTCAGGCTTGGAGTCACCTTCCATGGAGGAGGCAACAACTAGAATTACTGCCCGGGTGAGTTGTAGGCTGATGCTGGAATCACTGTGTATCGGTATGGCTCCCTTGTTGCTCCCTTCTCAGTAACAGACTGCTGGGACAGACCCTGTTGGTTTGACTCCTAGATCTCACACATATCCAACCTTGCAGATGTGCTTTTCTACAGTTCAAACCACTGTTCTTAGTGAAGACCTCAAAAACCTCTACCGCTGAAGACCTGGCAAATCATTGCTCCCATCTGCACACAGATGCCCTCTCTGCACTGCTCTTTTTTCCACTGCCTCTCTACAAGCCTCCCATGTTTTTGCTCTCTGCTCATAAAGACAGCGTAGTTTGTTTCACAGATTGGAGTTTGGCTAGAAGCCTGCCAAAGGATATTCATACACTGATGTTCTCTGAGAAAACTGATAGCATTTTTATTCCCGTCAGAACCGGTCACTTAGCTGATTATGCTACATAATGAGCAATAGACCAAGCCACACGTTATAACTCGCATTCCCCGGTGACTTAACATAAAGTCTTTCAGTCTCTTTTCAAAGCTCATAGAAACTAAAAGCTCCACTCCATCAAGGGTCCCTTTAGGCCAAGATGAAAAGCAGATTCACATTTATCAATCCTTGAACAAGAAAACTATCAATCACGGAAAATACTTAATGCAAAACAGTGAAGAATGTTTGCTAAAGGCAAACAGTACTGAGCACGGAGTTACTCAGGAATACAGGGCAAAGTCAAATCCCAATTGTCTCTGCAGATATGCACAACCTATACATGACACAAAGACACACTGCCCTTTGCCTAAACAAATCAAGATCTATAAATCATGCTGACACCACAGTTTAACTCTCTCACCTGAGAAATTACAGCATTCTTGCTGTTTATGACTTGCAGGGGTACAGTGGAATAGTTTGTCCTTGTGAAATTTAACCATTTCCCAGGTATTTTCAGCAAGCCTTACCCTGTTGCTGTAAGGAAGGAGTGATGACATATTGTTGCATGGTATGCAACGTAGTTGTTATTGCTGGAACAGAGAACTTGCAATTTCTGCCTTGCCAGCCAGCAAAGGCAGATCTAAGACTGCCTGTTTGCACGCAGCAACATATTTCTTCTAGAAGAGTTTGCCATATTAACTCTCGCTAGCCAATTTTAATGAGACCAGTTTGTACTGAAAAATGGATTAATGATATAAGGCAATTACTTAGCACCACATGTGTGCAAGTAAAACAACTTTTTCAGGAAGGGAATAGAGTCTGTCACCTCTAACAAGGCCTGTGCACATAACCTAATATCACTTGTTCTGTGGGGTTCCTAAGATGTCTATTATAATGACATCCAATTTTGGATTTCAGTGATTTCCTACATTCAAAGAAACCAGCCTTTTATTGACTACACTGATCCCTCAGAACAGGAAATGGAATAGATTGCTAAAACTGAGGTCCACAGACAATTAGCATGGGCTACATTTACTTAGTGGGTCATGTACTTCAGTCTCTGCAGCGCCATGGAAATCTTTGAAATGTGTTCTAAGCGACTACAACAGTATTTCAAAGACACCCTCAAATTTGCACCGATTTAGACGTAGCGATACCAAGCAACTGACTGTCTCCAAGAGCCGTTCTGTAAAGAACAACTTTCCGACAATTAAATTATCACAGGGAAAAGATCAGAAAGGGGGGTATTGTGAAGCCAGTTTATTCAGCTCCAGGGGACACGAGCAGGGTAACAGACTGATTTCTTTAAGATTGGTGCATTGCAACTGATTGAGTTCAATATCTGGGAAGGTATATGCAAACTTTGGTTGTAGCTGTTCCTACTTTTCTGTGACTTTCCCTGGTATCTAACAAGTGAGGTGACACATTTTCTTCTGGTTGGTGAAATGTGTAAAAACTTGATGATCTCTGACTGCCATCATTCCATTAAATTTGGTCAAAATGGGCTAACAGTTATTTGGTACAGAACAACAAAAATCAGACGGTCTTGTTTGTATAAATCTAAATCTGACCCAAATACCACTGTAATTTTTGAAAGAATTCCAAAGGTTAGATTCACAAAACCTTAATAGATATATGAACGGTGACATATACACGATTGTTTGCAAGCTATCAGGAACGTTTTCAACAAACCATTGAAGTACAATTTTTCCTTCATACTCAGATGCTCTCTGACCAAGCAGAAGAGTTTGCTCTCAGCCCTTGATGGTTTGGATCAATCCATCTCAGAGCAGATTGGGTTGGAGCAGTCTAGCATACAGATGGGGCTGTTCTAGTGTAAGCCAACTAGCTCTAACCTGAATGTCCGGCGAGCTAGCTGAGGACCATAACTCTGTCTGATTCTGATTACATTCCTATCGTGACTTGAAATGGAGGTGCTGGTGTAGCATTGAGAGGCGAGCCCTTCGTCTGCTGGGAAAATACAAATATGAGAACTCCTCATCACCACTTGCTGCAAGATCAGTAGAACCAGAATTGAACAAGAATAGCATTGGCACATAAAGTTGATTTTTGGGTACGTGCCCACCAAAATTTATATTGATTTTTCCCCTGCATATGAATCATACACACACACAAAAATAAAAAAGCAAAGCATAGCTCTCATACTAGCACTGCATTTTGGGGCCAGCTCTCAACTACAATTTGTTCATTCCAAATGAGCTACGAGCATAACTCAAATGCAGCCACATGGCAGCACAGTTTAAAAAGAGAAGCCTGGAGTAGTCAGAATGTGGGGAATTAGCTTAGCAAAGTGAGAGCAGCTGCATTCTTTGGTCTGAAAAGCTAAAGCAAAGTGAACGTGCTTTACAATTGTTAGGGAAATATTTAAGATACCTATTTGTTTTCTCTCTGAATTTGGCGAAGCGTCTCGTGGCAGTATTACAAGAATAGCTTTTGTAGAAGAACTTTCAACCAAGTCCAAATGGGGAAACGCTGAAACTCTTATGAGAAATATCTACCCTTGTGACACTTCCTGCCTTATATTTAGAAGGGAAGGGACTGAACAAGCATCTAAAATGACTAAATATTTGATGATTTGTGTAAATATAGAGAAGCAGAGAGAGAAAAGTGCCACACAGCGGACACTTGAATCACTTTATTTTTCCTCATTATTTGCTCCCAACTAGGCCAACAAAACTGCCAAAGGGAATGCCTAGCAGAAGTGTTTGAAATGTCAGCTCCCTGGTGACCTATATATCCTTATGGGGTTATATACTCCACGCACGTCAGTCACCGCTGCTTCTTTAAGATCAGTGCTGCTACATTCAGCATCTCTCCCAAGGATATCAGATTTTTTTTCTTCTTTTGAGCAGAGCTGGTAGCACCCATTTCTTTCATCATGGTGTTGTAGCAGCTTCAGGTGAGTAAGAGTTATGGTGACAGCCACCCGTCATGACCAAAGCTATTTATTACTTGCAGCATTGTGCAAATATGAGTGGGATCCAGGGTATATCAAAGTAACCAAGGAGATTCTTCTTAGGCTTCAGTGCTGTATCATACATAAACCAGCTTCATTTGCTGAAGCTGTGCAGTGAAAGAGTGAGGTCAATACAGGGAGAGAAATGCAGAAAACAAGTTTACAGACCCTGAGGCTACTGAAAAGCAGAGGGCAGAGACACAACCACCTTGTAGGAATGGCTCATTTAAAAACACAAATTCAGTTTGTCTTACGTTTGATAAGGTGTAGAAGGAGAAAATATTAATCTGTCAAAAGTACCTGGCCTTTAAGCTGGGAGATAAGGAAATATCAGCAAGAGAAAACAGCAAAAACCTTCGCGCTTTTAAGCATGATCATCATTAGGTGCTCTGTAATTTTCATTGCTGTTTGCTGAAATGATAGTTTTGGCCAGTTTATCAACCACAGAAGAAATAATCAAGGGGAATCTCTGATGGATTTCGCATTTCATGATGGCAATGTTTTGTTCTCATTGCATTTCCTGAGGGTGTTGCTAGTGAGCCCCTCACTATGTTTGTGCATTACATGGCTACCTCTGCTCTGATGATGGCCAGGCTTCCCCCGCAGGGCTCCGGTGGGCACCTCCATGGTTCACATGCCTCAAGTATAAATTAAAATATTTTACTGAAGAGCTTAGATTAATTTATATAACTGTATTATGAAATAATTGAAACTTCTGCATATATATTATCGAAACATGATAAGTACCTCATGTAAACATCATGTTTGCCTTCAAATAGTCACTGTGTAGAGTATAGAGATTAATCGCAAAGGAGAGTTCACTACAGCAGACCTGCTCTTCCAGGTCCTCTCAGAATGGATCCTGAAGATACGTAGACATTCAGACAGAACTGCTTTAGAGAAGAGGCTTTGGATGACACAGCTGCTTATGGCTGACTTCAATTGTTGCTTTGATAACAGCTGCACAGAAATACCTCATTGCTCTTAATTTCCTCTTCAACCCAGGTTAAGGTCTGAAAAAACCATAGAGAGAAGCAGTCCAGAATCTACTGCTTTTACTACCTAGAAGGGCCCTGCAGAGGTAACCCCCCCTGCCTGCCTTCCTTGGCTGCAGTAGCAGCCTCCAGCTGGGCTTCTGCTTGGAAGCCCAGTGCTCCAAATGAAGGGGCGCTCCATAAAGAGGCACTAAACTTGTCTCACCAAGAGCTCTCAGTAGGAATTTCCATGGCACCGTATCAAGGATCTCGATCGCAACATTTAGGGCAAAGGCTGTTATCTCATTTATTATGTTTGTAAAGCTTTGAGAACACATCAGGTGCTACGTTAGATTTAAATGGTGCTAGGTGTTTTCTGCTGCTCCTCTGTGGTCTCCATTTCACTATGAGGGACTAAGTAATCTAAGCAATATTCACTAGCACTCGCTGTTGATCAGCAATATAATAAAAAGTATAGACTTAACTTACAAGTACATTTTTCTCTAGGAAGCTAAATGGTTCTCAGAAAGTGGTTCTTCCT